GGCGCGCTGCTGGGTCGGGGCGGCGTAGGTGGTCGCGGGCCTGGTCGGCTGCTGCTGCGTGGGGGGTCTTGCCGGAGCGGCCGGGCGGGCGGCGGGACGGGCGGGGCGCGAGCGAGCCATCTTGGGAGGATTTTGGGAAAGCGGGGGAGGGAAAAGAGAGACGAGACTGGACAGACGGTAAGCGGCAGAAAGGGTGCCTCTCTTTGCCCACTGCTTTGCGTGCGAAACGATTGGTGTGTGTTTTCCCGGTCGGTTGGTGGTGGTTGGATGGAAAATACGTGGATGGCAATTGGTGCAGGGTCCGAGATCAAGTCCATCTGCAAAAGAAAGCTGGAAGGTTCCTCAGTGGAGGATTTTGTCGGTGGAGTCGTGGTGGAGCACTCTACGGCGCGGTCCTGCGTTAACCTAAGTTCGAATCTGGCGTCATCACGTGATACCATCTACCATCTCATCTCTTGGACGGCGAGGTGTGCGGGCCGGCGCGTGGGCCGGCGCATGATGAATGCCGGGCCTGGGTGTATTAAAGACCTATGGGTATCTCGAATAACCAGCAATATTACGACTAAACCAAAGAATAATCCAAAGCCATGCTTTTAGCGCCCATACATCGCCGGCCAAGTCCTGGAGTAGGATTCAAAGGATAAGCGGTCTACTTTGAGGCTTTGCTGCTGTGCTTCTTCCGCTTCGCCTTGGAGTCCGACTTGCCGCTGGCATCACTAGTGTCGGCCGACGGACTGGCCTCCTCGGCAGCGCGGCGTTTCCTAATGACCGCCTTTGCGCGCTCCTTGGCTAGGAGCTCCTTGAGGTTGTTGGAAAGCTCTCGGTTGTTCTCGTCCGCCTGGATGGGTGATTCGATGTTAGCCAGCGGAACATTTGCGGCGGGAGCAGGAAGTATGAGGAAAAACCAACCAGGTCCGCCCGGATGAAGCGGATCGCCGCCTGCTTGTTGATGGTGGCGTTCTCAGGTCGCGGCTCGGGGGGAGTCTCGGCCTTGGTGATCTTCTCAAAGTACTGCCGCGTCCGCGTCAGCTCCTTGAAGACGTCGTGGTTCTTTGCATCCACGCCCTCCAAACGCAGTGCACCTGCAGCAGTGTTAGTGTCCGCATTGCATGAAGGCTTTTAATCCGCCGCGAAAAGAGGTGAGGGGGACGCACTGAAAAGCAGCGACTCGATAGAGTAGGCGAGGAGGACATTGAGTTTCGCCTGGTCCAAGACAGGGAGCTTGGATGAGATCTCGGCAAAGTTCTCGAGCAGGGGCTTCAGGTCGCCTTCGAGCGTTGTGACGCTATCGGCAAGGCCCTCGACCATGGCATCGAATGCGTCGTCTTCTGCGCTCATCTTTGCGGTTTGGCACTGACGGAGTCGACAGGCGCGGGAGCCCGACGTTGGGGATAGGCCTAACCGGCTTTCTTGCTGGCAAGGACAACCGGCCGTCCTCTGGGTTTTGTATCCTCCCGGCCTGCTGCAGTGGCTGGGCAGGCGGAAGTGCCAATTGCAGCCAAGTTTGCGCGAGCGCATTCCGACCGACAGGACGTCACGCAAAAGAGTGGGGTCGCGCAACGCTGCGGAGTGGGCCTTGGCCGTCCGTCCATTGGCGCAGCCGAGGATTGACAGGGGCAAAAAAATCGCATCGAGATATTGTCGATCCGAGAAATTCCTCCTGAAAGCCCCTCCTCGACCGCAGACACAACCCGCGATATCGATCCAGGCTCGGCAAACAGCAGCGTCTGCCAGAGCTGCCGCAGGAAACCAGTGCGCCATGAGGCTTTGCTAGGCCGGCGCTGTCTGGGCTGGATGGGACTTGGGAATTTGCGGCTGCCCGCGCCGTTGTCACAGCGTCGCCGCCACCACCACGCTGTCTCGAATACCAGGCAGCCGCGCAGCGCCGCGGCTGTTTGCGCGCCTAGACCCCAGACTCCTGCGATGGAGCAGCAATGACGCTGCGGTCGACCGGGCGGCCTCCCACCCCCAGCATGCCTTCCCGAGTCGACCGTTCCTCACCGGCGAGAGCCTCCTCCCCCCTCTGCCGAGCTTCCACCTCCCCTTTAGCGTCCCGTCGCTGCTCATGCCGACTCCCACCTCGGGGGCTCAAAACATGCGCCACCTCTCCCTCATAAAACCGACCAACCCGCCCATATCGCGGGGATCCGACCCCTCCCGCCCCGCCACCTGGGAGGACTCCCTCATCCGCGCCGTCCAAGTGGCCGCCGGGCCGGAGGTGCCCCCGAACTACGATTTCCCGTTTGGGATCCCCGAACTTTTGATCCAAACCACCTACGACCCGCTTTGGGCGTACACCAACCGGCCACCCCCTGTTCCGTCCCCCGGCCCGGCCGAACACGAACGGGCCGACAATGGTGATGCGGGTGTGGCGCCGGGAAATCTGGAAACAGAGCCTTTTCACGCACAAGAGCAGGCACCGACACCGTTGAAGCAGTTCAAGGACCTGAGTCCGGCTGAGAGTCTCAAGAATCTAAAAGATCCCATCCATGTTCTGTGCACAAACGTTCGAGCGAGCTACATCGCCTTCGCCCTATCCCACGTGAGCAACCGGGCGCCGCCAGGCCTGATCCTCCCTCATACGCAGAGAAAGAAGTATCTGGAGGAGGGCCGAAGGATTAGTGTGCTCCGGCACGACCTCTGGAACGAATCACATGCTCTACGGCCGGAGCCTTACCAGTCAGTGGTATACGAGGGTGCCGATAACCACATCAAGCATCTGGTGCTTACTGCACAGGCCTGCAAGACGGGCCGCTGGCTCGCAACCCTCATGCCACGCATAGACAGCCGTACAGTGATATGTCTGATCCAGGACGGCCTAGGCGTGCCCGAGCACCTCAACGCGACCATATTCCGGGATCCCAGAACACGGCCGAGATACGTGCTGGGCCACATGACCCACCTGCTCCGTCACATCAGGAAGCCGCGGGACAGCCGGGACCATTTCCGATTCGCGCTGGGCGAGGAGGAGGAATCGGGCGCCCTGCACCTGGCCTCCTACATTCCACGCGAACCGGATCAGGACTTCTTCAGCGAGGCGTCCTCGGCTGCCAGGTGGCACGGCGGCGGCGGCGAGGGCCACGGGCGGGCGCCGGCCGAAAGCTTCGTCTACGCCATGTGGCGGGCGCCGCGGCTCAACGTGATGAACCACTCGCTCGGCGAGTTCCTGGCGCGCAAGCTGCCAACCATGGTGTTCCAGTCCGTAGTCGAACCAGTATCGGCGCTGCTCGACTGCGACTACGGCGAGCTCTACCGGAGCCGCGTGGGGCTCAACAAGGTGGAGCAGCTCCTGCACGAGGCGTCGCAGGTGATGCTGTCGCTGCCCGAGCTCTCGCACCAGCACCGCTTCCTCGACTACGTGGGCTCGCACCGCCTCCGTGGCGACGTGCTGGGCCAGCTGCGCAGCGCCGGAGCCGCCGCGACCGAGAGCGAGATGCGCTGGCTGATCCGAAACGCGCGACCGACCAACCTCGACTTCCTGAGCGGCTGGTTCTCGGACCGGGCTAGGGAGGTCGGCGTCGACGTGCCGCACCTCGAGATGACGATCGAGCTGGTCAAAGGCAAGACAAAGGTCCAGCGGAAGCGGGCCGGCGACCTGATTGCGTTCCAGGGCCTGCCCCGGGCGAAACTCAACTACTACTAGGCACCACCGGGGTCTTGAAATTTACAATCAAAAGCATTGGCGTCTCTTTTCTCACGGTTGGCGGTGTGTCGTTTTTCCTTTGGCGCTACCAGGGGGGACAGGAACGGGTCACGAGGGGTTTAATCATGATCATTTTCGGTCCTTATCATGGAACGCCCTGCCTTGCAGGCTGGGCGGCAAGTTGAGTATAAAATCGGGACTATGTACAAAGCAGCTGCATATCATAGGCGCGACAGCAATAGAGTGTGGTTTGTATTCCGTGTATGCATGCAATCTTTTCGGCGCTGGGCCAAAACCTCATCATGCTCCACTACATTGGAGCTGCTGCGCATGGAAGACAGACAGGCAAATTTCTACGGTCCCCAGTGCAGTTTAAAGAATGGACTCGTCCGCCTGGTTTAGAGCCACCTGCCTACCCGGTCTTAGTATGGAAGCCAAGCTTCACTCTACATGGCTCTCCTGTTCACATCCCAAGCTCATACGCACAGTTGGAAATCTCACCTTGACTTTAGCATATGCCAGCCCACCCCCCAGACTTGTGAGCTCTGTTCCTACTTGCTCGAGCTCCTGATAGCGATCTCGCGGACCGGCGAGCACTGTCTTTTCTTGGCCAGGGTACTTGTCCAGGCCAGCAGTCAGCTTTAACGAAGGCGGCCCAGCACGGCAGCAAAGTATAAGGCTGCGCCAAGGCCGCGGGTGATTCCCCGGTCTGGGTATTTGCCTCGAGGCTCTCGGCCAGAACGAGGTTGGCCGAGCATGTTTTGTCTGTAAGAGTCAGCGAGCCCTATGGGCGCCGTGGCCGGTAGCAGCGGTCGCACATATACAAAAACACATGTGGGCTAGAGGTTGTCACAGGGCTACCCCATCGAGATCTGTTATCAGGCTGTCCGGGGTATGACTTCAGAGGACTCTGCTGCGTGATGCATCTCTAGGCCGCGTGAGAGAGACAATGATGCCCACACATCCCCTGGTGAATCAAGGAGCCAAACAGCGCTCAAGGAACACACAGCTAATCCCCTCCCCGGCCGGCGTTTTGTCAAAGTACCTGGTGACAAGCTGAACCTATATCGGGTCGGCTACTGCAAGTTGTCGCGTGCCCCGTGAACGAAATGCCATGTTGGCGGACTGATTTTCACCCGCCCGATCAAAGCACCCCCCGCTTCGATGCTCGTTCTTGGACATATTCCAACAACGACTACCAGCAGACCCAGACCATCGGATCCAGCGAGGTATGAGTGCCAATATCTCATTTGGGGAACGTGCCGAGACCCACTCTACCCCGACTATCTCCTATTGCCGAAGACGGGAAGCTGGCAAGCTTTGCCCCACAAACGCGGGGAAGGGCGTGCTGCAACGGAAGCTCCGAAGCTACCGGCCGTTTCGTCTCACTTTGGCCCGCTTTGTGTCTCCGATAAGGTATTTTGGCGCACCCAAGCGTCATGAACACATCACATATGCGCTAGAATTCAACGGCAGCTAGTGAGCATTGAACGACGGCTTGGTTCTTATGATACTTTCTTATACACTTCCCTCCCTCCATCTACACCACTTCTTGAATATTCAGCACCGAAACCCCCTGATTCTGGAACAACCAAGCAACAAGTGTCTACCCTCGGTCGACTTTTGACTTCTCTCTGGCTCGTAAGCCGCTGGCCGATACCAGGGCCACATTTCATACCGGCAGAAACCGACGCCCAAGTGCCCGTTGAAAGAGTTGGTCAACAATACCGAAGGTGCTGCAATCGGCTGTGCCGGCCTGACGGCAACCATGTCTCCACAAAGTCTTGCTAGAAGTAGCGACCTCGATGACGAGGATTCGGTATACCATACCGCTGTCGAGGGCGATCTCGCTGAGGATGAGGACGAGTCATGGGTACCAGAGACCAGTGGTGATGACGACGATGACGACGATGACGACGACGACGATGAAGCAAACGACAGAGAAGATGAGGAGGAGGACGAGGAGCCGGATCAGGGTGACGACGACGACGACGACGATGAAGAGGGAGACCAGGCATTTGTGGTGCAAATCGGAGGACGAACACTCCCCCTGACGATACGCCAGCTGCAGTCACTGATCGCCATGAACCACGTCGTCCATACCGCGGAGCTGGACGGCCTTATCGGGCGCCTGCGTAGGAGGCAGCGGACCCCGCCGGACCCCAACCGCTTCCCGAAAGTGCCCAACGACAATGGTATCGAGCTCATGAACTCTGGCGTCTTCGGCTCCACGGGCCTGGCCGTCTCCCCGAACGTGCCGGCCCCCAAGGGCCTGGCTCGCCGCATCCTCGATCGCGAGCTGGGCCTTGGCGACTACCGGGACCGGCGCCTGAACCAGGACCTGATGGCCCAGAGCATGATCCCGTCGACCGAGGCCGACATGGTCATCCGCTACCAGTCCCCCGTCTACTCGGGCCAGTTCTCCGACGACGGCAACTTCTTCTTCGCCGTGGGCAAGGACTTTCGGGTGCGCATGTACGACACCTCGAACCCCTACGACTGGCGCTACTACAAGACGGCCATATTCCCCTTTGGCCAGTGGACGCTCTCGGACGCCTCGCTGAGCCCGGACAACCGCTGGCTGGCCATCACGTCGCTGCTGCCCCACGTCTGCCTGGCGCCGACGGACCCCAACGACACGGGCGACCCCTACGTGCTCGACCTGTCCGAGACCGGAGGCACGGGGCGGCAGGCGGGGCCGTTCCATCGCACCCACGGGCACCACTTTGGCATCTTCTCGGTCCGCTACTCGGGCGACGGGCGCGAGCTGGTGGCGGGGACCAACGACAAGTCCATCATCGTCTACGACATCGAGTCCCGGCGGGTGCTGCACCGCGTCGAGGGCCACGACGACGACGTCAACGCCGTCTGCTTCGCCGACAAGTCGTCGCCGCACATACTCTACTCCGGGTCCGACGACTGCACCATCAAGGTCTGGGACCGGCGCAGCATGGGCGACGGGCGGGCCGCGGGCGCCTTCGTCGGCCACGTCAACGGCCTGACGTACGTCGACAGCAAGGGGGACGGCCGCTACATCCTGTCCAACGGCAAGGACCACTGCGTCAAGCTCTGGGACCTGCGCGCCGTCATGAGCTCGGCCGACCTCGACCGCCTCGACCCGACGCAGCACACGCGCCACCGCGCGATCGACTACCGCTGGGAGTCCTTCTCGGAGGAGGACTGGTTCCGCCACCCAAATGACAACTCGGTCGTCACCTTCCGCGGCCACAGGGTCTCGCGCACCCTGATCCGCTGCCACTTCTCGCCCCCGGGGAGCACGAACTCGCGCTACGTCTACTCGGGGAGCTACGACGGCAAGGTCTACGTCTGGAACCTCGACGCCACCCTCGCCGCCACCATCGACGTGGCCGCCGAGAGCAAACGTCTCTTCCAGAGGCCCAACCACCGGCACCACCGCCACATGTCGCCCTTTGTCAGGGAGGCCTTTTGGCACCCGAACGCGCCGGTCATGGTTGGTACGTTGATATGCCTCCGTTCCTATCAAGTCGTGATACCAACTTTGCTGACAAACAAACAAAAAAAAAAAAGCCTCTGTCTGGGCCGCCGACGACACCGGCTTCTGTAGCGTCCACTCGTGGAACGAGGCCCCTGATGACGAGGACGACCCGAAGATGGGAAGGATTGTCAACGACAAGCTGGTTGCGACGCCGCTGTCCGGCGGCGGCGGCGGCGGCGAGGAGGATTCCGACGACGAGTCAGATTATGAAACTTTCAGTTGGTGATGCGGGCGAGCATGTGGAGGATATTGTGGCTTCAAGGAGTTCCCGGCGTTTTCGTAGTTCGGCGCGACAGTGAGCGGGCATGGTAACTGCAACGTAAAAAATATATTACAACAGCAAGGTATCAAAATGCACCGCGCCGCTCGTGATCAGTCGTCATTCTGGGCTTCCTTGCGCCTCATGCCCTCTGGCCAACACAAGCCAGGCCTCAGACCCTGAAGCCAGCCTTGACCTTCCCCTCCCCAACGCCGAATTCTGTATGGTTTGTCCGTCTGATGTGGCAGGCTGCCTCGAACCCACACTCTCTGTTTGCGCGTGACCGCTTGAGGGGTATAATGGCCGGATATCCTTGAACCGTCCGTCACCCCGCTTCATCCCTCTCACTCAAAACACAACGATCGCCGACGACTTCGATGACGCTTATGCGCCGCCGACGAGGATGTTGTTGAGTGGGATGTGGACTGTTTGGCCAAGAGTAACGAGCGTCAGTATTCGCAAAGCGGGGGGAACACGTGGCAGCAGTACCATGCGAAGCAGTCCGGAGGGGGGTGAGAGGGGGCATACTCAGCTTGACCACGTATCCGACGGCGCCCATGACCAGGAAGCCGACGCCGACGGCCTGGCAGATCTTGAGGAACTCCTTGCGGTCGGCTGTAGCGAGGGTGAGTGAGGTGTTAGCTGAGGCGCAGCCAAGAAGGCAGCGCAAACGTCGGGGGTACTGACGCTTCTGGCTCCTGTTGATGAACTGAAGCCCGTCCTTGAGGAATTCCCTGGGGACGTCGAGGATCTCCTGAACCTGGTCCGACATGGTTTTCTGTTGTGAAAGGGAGGGGTTTGTGCGCGTTGGGCGAGAGAGTGGATGAGTGATCGTGTCGTCGTCGGTTATGATGTTCGTCGTGTGGGCGGTTGTATGTAGTGTATCGTCGAGGGGGTGGGTGTGCAGAAAAAAAAGGAGTGACGATGGGGGTTTGGAGATTCCGCGGTTGCTTAAATCGCGGCCGTCCAGTCTTTTGCGCGCTCAATGCCACATCGCCTCAAATTAACAGCCGAGCTGGCTTCAATCCCACACCTCGGGGTTGGGGGTGTGAGAGAGAGGCGTGGCGTGGCCCACAAAAGAAAAACCAGGGGGCTTTCTTTGGCTCATGAGTGAGGCGCGCGGGAGATACTTGTTGAGCCCTGGCGGGGATTCTCAGGGCTCTAACGTAACAGCACCAGCATGAATCCTGGTCCGCGTTAGTGTCTTGTGTATCGGCTGGTGGGCTCGTCATGTACCACGGTCCTGTCGGGAGGCCACCCCCTGGCTCGATGGCGCGGGAAGGAGCCATGCACGCCTGAGCTTCCAGCCCAGCCCAGAAGTCGCGCGTTGCAGCTCCGGTTTTCTTTCCTCATCCATTATTTTCGTCGTCAAACTTGCTTTGTTCCATCTCCAACCGGAGGCCTTGAACCCTTGTCTCTACTCTTCTCTTCTTCCTGTCACTCAGTTCTCTCGACTCACCTTGTTGTTTGCAAGATCTCATCGAGTCTCCCTTTTTTTACCCTCTTCCTTTCTGTGTTGGATCGCGAAAGGGGGAGCTTGGCTGATTGCCGTCCTTAGCCTTTAATTCGCCGAGAGCCTCGCGATCCCGAGTCCATCCCACTGACCCGCGTTCGACAACGACCCTCCATCGACTTTGCCCCGTTCGTTCCCTCGCGACCCCGAACCCAATTCGATTGTTTCGTTCGGATCGTGGTGATAACCTTCCTGCCGCGAATGAACCCGGTGGTGAAGAACGCAGGCAGTTGGAGAGAGTGACGAGGAAAAAAGACGCCGTGTGTCTGCTGCCTCACCTCGAGAGCTGCTGTACTATCGAAAAGAGAAGCCTGTACTTGGACTGCTCATCACCCTGCTGAGGGGGGAAGCAGAAGAAAGCAGAAGCAAAAAAGAGGAGTCAAGACCGCAAGCACAGAGCTTCGTCTTCGCGTGCGCGGACCGACTTGGCTGAGAAGAATCTCTCCAAGAGTCGAGTGCCAAAGGCAGAAGAGCCACTTTGTTTGAGATCAAGGAGTGTACGTACGTATGGTCAAGCTTGCGTTTTCTTTTGTTGAGTCTCTTCCTCTGCTTCTTCCTCTTTTCCTGTCTTTTGATGCAGCCTTGGGTACCGGCCGAACCCCGGTCCGCGCGACGCCGGGGCCTTTTTTCTTCCTCCTTCTTTTTCACGCTCTCGCTTTGGGGGTCCTCTCAGTACCCCACTACTCGTTCTCCGTTACTGATATCGCGTTCGGGCACCGCAGCAGACACGCGCCTGTACATCCTCCTCTCATAACTAGCAATCTATTTGCCCTGAATTCCCAGAAGGACCCTCGCGTCCTTGTGGTCAGCTTTTCGGCGCCTTGATCTGCTGCTTTAGCTCTGTGCTCACAACTCAGAAGTCAGAAGTCAGAAGTCAGAACTCACCAAGATGGCTGACGAGGAGTTCGAGATTGACATCTACGGCGATGCGAACCCCGACCAGGGCGACAACAAAGACGGCCAGGCCTATGAGGGCGACGACTCCAACGGCCACGCGCAGTACCATGACGACCACCAGGACAAGGACGGCGCGGCCGATGGTGAGGACCACAACCACGGCAGCAACCACGAGTCCTCTGCCACACCACTTGCAGCCCCCGCCCCAACTCATGGAGTGAAGCGCAAGGAGGGATCGGATGATAGGCCGATCGACCCAGGCGCGACTTCGGCCATCATGATCTCCGAGCTCAACTGGTGGACTACCGATGACGACATTCGCGGCTGGATTCGCGACGCCGGCTGTGAGGCCGAGCTAAAGGACATTACGTTTAGCGAACACAAGGTCAACGGCAAATCCAAGGGGTATGTACTCGCCCAACAGGCAACTTGCTGCCGTGTAATCCATGTCGCTGTTCTGATGGGCATCTGAGGCTAACTTGAGAAAATAGTCAAGTTTATATTGAGCTCAAGTCCCAGCAGGCCGCCACGGCCGTCAAGCATCGTGTCGAGGCTCAGCAGAGCGACGATGCCAACGCCCAGACCAAGAGGCAGACTGTCCTCTACTCACCGCCGACAGTCAACCCCTTCCGCACCCTTCCCAAGGACCAGCCGCGTGCCGGTAAGGACGGCCAGAACCGCACTCCGTCCGGCCCTGGCTACAACGACCGCAACAACATGGGCGGTAACAACTACGGTGGTGGCTACCGTGGCGGCCGCGGCGGCTACAACAACATGCGCGGCACCGGCATGGGCAACCAGGGCGGCGGAGGCTTCCAGAACCGCGGCTTCAGCAACAACAACGCCTATAACAGCAACGGCAACATGGGCGGCGGCGGCGGCTTCGGCGGCGGCGGCGGCAACCCCATGGGCGGCAACTTTGGCGGCGGCGGAGGCGGCCCCAACAACTTCGGTGGCGGCCCCGGCGGCTTCCGTGGTGGCGGCATGATGGGCCCCGGCGGAATGCGCGGCGGTGGCATGCGCGGCGGCCGCGGCGGTATGGGTGGCATGATGGGCGCCGGCATGAACCCCATGGGCAACATGGCGGGTATGAACCCAATGGGCAACATGGGTGGCATGGGTGGCATGGGCGGCATGGGCGGTCCCATGGGCGGCAATATGGGTGGTGGAATGGGAGGAATGGGTATGATGGGCGGTGGAATGCCTGGTAAGTCAAACAACCTCGTTGCGGGTCCTCGTCGCCCCGCAATCCCATCTACATCCCCTTGCCTCAACAACTCCCTCGCAGCACACTGCCATCAAGTAAGTCAACCCAGCTGACCGTGTACACTCTTCCAGGCTTCCCAGGCATGCAGCCCCAGTTCAACCCCGCCTTCTTCGGAGGCGGCGGAGGCAGCGGCAACCAGTCAGGCGGCAGCAGCGACTGGCAGAATCCGCACGGCGCCAAACGTCCCCGGCCGGAGTAGGTACCCGGTTTCAACTCGGCGGACAAGGCCCGCAACAAGTCCGCCCCTGGCTTCCCGGTAGCCGACCGCAACAGGCCGCCCGGCACCACGATCGGCTCCTTCGGCATTCCTGGCATACCTCCGAGGCCCCCCGGCTGCTAGGTGGGCTACCCCCACCCTTGCAGCTCCTGCGGCCTGTCACTACCGCCCTTGGCCAACTCTCGGTCCTGCTGGGAGCCGCGTCACTGGAGTCACAGAGGAGCATTCGCCGGGCTTTAGGAATTACCTGTCGAGCTCATGATGGCCCGGTAGGTGGTGAGGTTTCAGGTGCTCGACAAGTTCCAACAAGCCATCATTGAAGCCAGTGATACAATTCACGGCACAGCATACACAGGCCCTCTCCTTGTCTTCCTCGGACCCGAGAAACCGGCCGCGTCTTTGCCCTGGAACTCCAAATCATAATGCAAAGGTTCAATCGAGATATGAAAAAGAAAACCAAACAGAAAAAGGAAAAAAAAAAGAAAATTAACTCGCATCTGGACCGGGCAGTGGAAGTTTCGAACGGTCTGCCGGATTACAAGAACTGTCTTTTTCTACAAGAATCAGGATTTGAGGTGCCGTGTATGCGTAGGAGACTCTCTTGGGGGTTTCCTTGGCTTTTTTCTTCTTTTCCATGTGTCTCCGTTCCGTGTTGCGAGATCTGGCAAGTCTGGGTGAGGTGGTGGTATGCCACCGCTTTTGCCTGGCTTTCTCACAGTCTTCCTTCTACTCTACACGTCTCCTTATGCGTACTCTAGCCCATGGTGGGCTCACTAGATCGTCCAACACCGGTCGGGGATTTTTGTTTTATTCTTGTTGCTTTTTCGCGTTCTTCTTCTATCTTGTTCTTGCTCTACTGTACACGATATTCCACCAGCCTTTTTGACTGGAGAATGGAGAAATTTCGGGGAATAGCTGTTTTGTTCCGACTACATTTTTTTCTTTCAAACCCCAAAAAAGCAAACCTCTGGAATTGGGAGTAATGGCCTGGCGTTTTAGCTCGTCGTTTTCTTCTTCTATTTCTTTCTTTGTTCACTGCGAGGAGACTTGATGAAGTGATTTGACTGATTTTCTGTACGCTTTTTTAATACTCTGTGATACCATGATAATGGCCGCTTGACCTATTTTTTTGCGTCGCTCTTCATTCGCCTCTTGTCAGGGCTGGAGGCGAGACTGGTTTATATGTGGAATAGAAGTCACATATGGTGGGCTTTATGCATGTGCAACTTTGCTAATGATCCGGGCTGTCTTTTCTTGTTCTTGAGGCTTCGCGACGACTACTACGAGGGTGAAGGTCGTGGATTTTGTATGATACACGCAGGATGGAAATAAGCGATTTGCTTCACAACATATGGACGAGGAGTCCTGTGGAATTCCCATCTCGTTTGTTCTTCTTTCACATGACTATCCCCACCTGATCATCACCTATTATCCAACCCCTCCTCCAGACGTTGTATGGCGGCCCCGAGCAGCCCGTCGATTTGGCGCCACCTGGTGGCGAGCAGGCCGCGCTGGGCCGCGGTGCCGACGGCGGCCATGCGCGCCCCCTCGAGGGCGGCGAGGCGCCCCCGCACGACGCCGCGGCGGTGCTCGGC